CATATGACCTACACCTTTTCTTGGATACTTGTGTATTGTCCTTCTCCCCTTGCTAAAAGAAAAGCTCTAGGAAGAAAAGGACTGATTTATTCATTGCTGTATCTCCAGCACTGGAACAGAACTCACTACATAGTAAGCTCTCAGTTTGTTGACCAAATGAGTGAACTTCTGGTTCTTTAGCAGTGGAGTTGGTACATTTCAAAGTTGTAAATGTTTGGGCACCTGGGTGGCTCATTTGATTAAACATCTGACTCTCGACTTCATCTCAGGTCATGATTGCATGGCTCGTGAGTTCCTGCCCCACAGTGGGCTCTGTGCTGACAAAGCAGAGGCTGCTTGAGATTCAGTCTCCTTCTCTCTCTGCCCCTCCCCCGCTTGCTCTCTATCTCTCTCTCAAAATAAATAAAAATAAACTTTAAAAAAAAGAAAGATGTAAATGTTTAATGGGAGAAAAACAAGGATGGGACAGAGCCCTACTCAGGAACTATATAGCAAACAATACACAAAACGCCATAGGAATATGAATTGCTATTAACAACGTACCACTGGTTAGGATAGGAAGCAAAATTATAATTTAATGCTATTATAAGCTAGTAATTTTTCACATAAAGAAAAAAATCTGTTCCATAATCACAGACTGTACCCCTAACCTTGGCTAATCATCTTGCAAATGCATGCGATTAGTCACAATGGATAATGTGAAAGGGAGTGCCAGTAGCTCAGGCAGCACAATCCATCACCAACACAGGGGAAATAACTCAAATTTCGTGTCCTACTAATGGCGGGTCAGTAGCATCAATTTTGTATTTGAAGGGCAATCCAAACCAAATTCCCTAAAATGCACCAAAATTTTGATAACTCCTCTCTGCTAAAATGAACATCATCTAGCAAAACAACAGATTTAACATTGAAAGAAAGTGCAGCAATTGGGAAAGCAAGCGAATTAAAAGCATAAGAACAAATCATGCAAGGCAATCTTGTTGGTTGTTTTGATAGAATGTCTAAATATATGGCTATTTAAGGGAACAGTATTTTATCAAAATGTCAGAAAACCTTACTCATTTTTTATGGAATCTAACAATTTGGCTCAAATCTCCCTTCAGTACAAAAACTGTATACTGAAAATGGGTCAAAGGTACAATATATGGCCCTGTGTGAAATTACCATCACATCAATCCTACGATATAATGTTTTAAGACCGGAAGATGAATATAAAAGAGTAAGAAGAACCTCTAAAAACAGTCAGGAAAGTAAAAAGCTAAGTACATTAGGTTATCAAAAGACATCAGAGATGACAGAAAGGGATTTTTCAACTATTTGGAGCTAGAGGGAAAAAAAAAAATGATGGGATAGGCTTACCATTTAAAGAATATAATGCTAACAGGTGATAGAACACTAAAATATTTCTATTCGGTCTCCTTCAAGTTGAAAAGGTCCAATTTAAAAAAAGGAATTATAGCCCAAGATAGTTGAGAAGATAGTAAAAAAGGGCACATAACCACTTTAAGTGAATTTAAGTCTGTAAGACCAAGCCAATTCCATCTTCAGAAGCTGAAAGAATTTGTAGATGGGATCTCAGCACCACTATTTGGTATGAAGAAAGGAGTAGAAGCCAGGAAATTGAAGGTGGCTCCATGTTCCTCTTTTTAATAGGAATATTGGAGTGTTTTGTTTTGTTTTAAGTAGCAGACATAGATTGTAGGCAAAATCTAAGAGTGGATTTTTTAAAGCATATGCATTTCAAACATCTAGGAAGTAATGTAGGGATGGTTGTGCACCAATAAAGGCTTACAAACACAAGGTCTAAACTAAACTCATTTGCATTCTTGTTTTGATTGGGTTTGTTGCTTGTTTTCTTTTTAGGTCCAGATTTGCTAAAAAGAGCTCTTGAGCTTTAGAGGTAGGGAACTGAATATGGATTTCAATCCTGGCCTTACCACTTTCTTCCTGGGAGATTGTGGGGAGTTCTCTCCCTTTTTCTGTCTGTCTTGTTTACTCATAACACTGCCTCAAGGAGCTGTTGTAAGGGTCTTGTAGGCTGATCCGAGTGAAGTGCCTCACGTAACTTGTGACACACACTTGACTTGGTATTAAGTGTAAGTGGAAATTCTCCATTTCTCTACTTCCATATTCCTTTTTTCTCAGTGCGGTCCCTTTGCTCTTTTGGAGCTAGCCTATTTAAAGGATGTGTGCTTTCGGGTTGCCTTCTGTGCTGAGCAGAAAGCTTACCCAGGCAGTTTCAGCTTATGCAAAGGGGAGGCATAAGATTGCCCAACACTGCCTATATAATGACCTACTGTAAGAGGTTATCAGAAAGCCCCAGTGGCCACAGATTGAACCCCCTTCTTCAGTTTTATCAACAATAAAGCTGATCCTCTGATCTCGGGGCGCCTGGGTGGCTCTGTCAGTTAAGCATCCCAATTTTGGCTCAGGTCATGATCTCATGTTTATGAGGTGCAGCCCGGTGTCAGGCTCTCTGTTGTCAGCACAGAGCCCGCTTAGGATCCTCTATCTCCCCTCCCCCACTTTTTCTCTCTCTGTCTCTCTCAAAAAATAAATAAACATTAAAAAAAAAAAGTTGCTGCTTTGATCTTCATCCCAACTTTTGTCTCATTATCAGTAGGGGGAAAAATTGGGGGCTTGGGTGAAGAAAACAGTGTTGTCAGCCAGCTGGAACCTCAACAAAGATGATTAACAACAATGATGAGAAAATTAGTAAATTGGGATAATTCTTACATATTTTACAATTGGATCACAGTTCCTTAAATGAAAAAATCTTTGCATTCTTTTGAAGAAGATGGTTAAATGTATGGTGGTTAAATAAGTACTAAATTATATACGAAAAGAGCCTCGATTTAATAATACTTAATGTTTCCTTAGCACTTAAGGAACCCTCGATACTTAGCTAAATGCTTCATGTGTATCATCTTATTCTTCTCTAACAGCTGCTGGATGCAGATACTGAAATTGTCCATTTTACAACTGAGGAAACTAGACCTCAAAGGTTAAGTGATTTGCCCAAGGTCACACAGTTAAGTGGAAAATCAGGATACTGCCTCAGATCTGTGTAATTCCAAAGCTCGTATGCTGACCCAGGGTTTGGCAGACTACATAGCACAGGCCAAATTCGGCCTGTTGCCTATTTTTACAAGTAAAGCTTTATTGGAACTGCCACGCATGTTTGCTTACATATTGTCCATGGCTGCTTCTGCACTGCAATGGCAGAGTCTAGCAGTTGTGACAGAAACCACATGGCCTGCAAAGCAGAGAACAGTTACTATCAGTGTCTTTGTGGAAACGTTTGCAAACCTCTGCTCTAGTAGAAACCATTCTGTGATGTTCTTTCAATTGAGTATCTTGCCAGTTTCCATCTCGTGCATAATTTCCATCTCATGACTCAAACCTGGCCCCTCACTTAACACTGGGTGATGAGATAAAAGCTGGGGGGCTTTCGGGTGTACTCTTTTATTCAGAAACTAAAATGTAATAAATGACCCAATGGCCCCCATAGTGTTCTTTTTTTTACTATTTTTTCCTCCCTGGAGTTTCAGCATTGTTCTCAAATCACTGTAAATCCCTTAAGTGGTATCTCCTGACAGTCCGGGATTTGACCTTTTGGAAGAATTAAGACAATTCCTAACCAACACAACTATTCCTAACCACATTCAGGGTTTTTGAATATTAGGAAAAATTCAAATAGACACAAAATATATAGAGTGAACAATTAAGTCAAATTCCATACGTCTGTCACCTAGGTTCAAAATTATTATCTTTGAGGCTAATTTTATCTCATCTATACACTTTATTTCCCCCAGTCCCCACCCCCAAGCCATTTAAAACACATTGCAGACATCATATCATTTCAGCCATAAATACTAAAAGTGGTTTTCAACACAGACCAATAGGTTATCAGTAATAAAAACTATATACTCCTTAATATCTGCAGACCTATAAGTCTGCTCAAATTCTGGTTTTATACTAGGTCTCTGCTTCTGGCATGACAATGTATGCTACATTTTCCGTCAAAAAAGTCAGTTTAAGAGAACACACTGTTCAAAAGTCCATTAGGAAAAGAGTTCAGAAACTGTTATAGCAGTTCGTATCATGTGGTAGGAAGTGATTCCAATTACTCTACCAGTGAAGCTCCAGGGGTCAAGAATGAGAGTCTAAGTAATAAAGGAACATGGGGGAAGAAAGAAAGCTACCCAGGCCGTGATGTACCAACAAAAATAATAAATATAACATCTGCCATATATTCTTGAAAGATCCCATACCTGTTTGTTACTGAGACCATTATACATTTCCCAAGACTACAGTAATGATACAGCTGTTACTGTTGGAAGCTGTCTTTTAAGTGTGCAGGGAGAAGTTATAGTCTATCTTTTAAAGAAGCCAGCACAAACTAACCATTTGTAGATGTTCTTGAAAGCTAGAAGTGTAATTTTGCTCTATGCAAAACAACTAAAAAAAGATCTGTTGTTTGCTGGCTCCTCAAATATCCCCAAACACAACCTGTGGATAAGACAAAGTTAAGTATATTGCTTACATATTAACAAAGAACACAACCTCTGCAAAGCTTTCGTAATGTCTCTGTGGGGGAACGAATTCAGCATTAATTGAGAATCAGAGATTTAGTTCGCTGGGGAGCTTGATGAGAACTGGGTAAAGATTAAGAGACAATAGTCCAGGGTTGTCAAAAACAGCAGGCAAGGATTTTTCAGGCAAGACATTCCAAGAATCTTAGGATGCAGACTGTGTGTTGATGTTTTCCATTGAAGAATTGATGGGTCTTTTGAAAGTCACACCTGTGAAGACAATGGAATAGTAAAGTCATGTAAAGTAGGGGGTTAGGTTATCTGTGGGTAGTGAGGGCAAAACAGGCATTTTAATTCCTTAGTGTCCAAACTGTGGGTAAGGGAAGGTAGTTTCAGTTCTCAACCTTTATCTTCAAGTCAAATAAGTTGTCTTCAAATAGGCTATGGTTAGGTAAATAAGCCATATATGAGATAATCTCTCCATATACAATATGTTTTTAATAGAATGTAATCCATACAGTGTTTAATTAGTCTACTAGATTTGTGGTGAAGGTGCCAGTAGAGACTGAAAATGATTCGTTATGTATTTTTCTTCTTCATTTTGGAGTTCAGCCAATCTTTCATGTGGCTCCTGAGGTGTGGCCTTACTTAACTTTCAATATCCTTAGATTCTTCTTAGCAACTGTAGAGAACTTGCGGTCACTGCACCTGCAATCATTCAAAGTTCAGATGGTTAATCCAGACACATCATCAACTATAGTAAAAGTTGGGTCTTTTACCTAATTCTCTCTCCCTAATGCTTACCCCTAATTACTTAGGACTCAGAAATGTTTTGGTTTTTTTTTTTTTTTCATTCCTGTGTTATGCAGTATTTCTGAGATGTCATGGCCATTAACACAATGAAGCCTACCCAAGAGTTGCAATGTAAGGCTTAGAATTTAGTGCTTCTACTTCTCAGTTTTAATCCAATATTTCTGCACCATATTTCTGATATTGTTGAGAGATAGAAGCAGAAAATATTCACCTTTAGCCCAGAAGGCTGACCTATACCCTGCATAGTTCTGATAAGGATCAAATACTGCTGGTTGCTACATCCTTAAAGAATTTCACGACTGCCTGTATATCTCACCAATAGTTAATATCGAACTGAACGATAAGCACCAAAGAAATCTTGAGAAAGTAGTTTTGCAAGTAAGAAATTTGAAGAAGCCATTTATGATCTAATACTCCCAGCACATTCCCTCCCCCTTGATCATAACCACCAGCTTCATACAGCAAAAGTGCAGGTCCTGTCTCTGTGCTACTTAAATGAACTTACTAAGTTGTACTGTCAATGTCTCAAGAATTCTTTCTTGGCTGTCATGCTTGATGACCCTGCAACAGTATCAACAGATGATGAATCACAGAAACACTTGGGAGGTCCGAAATCATCTTGCAGTTATATGAGTGGGAAAAATCCGAAAAGTTAAATTTCCAGCGTCATTTCCTTAAGCGATCATATCAATATGGCTAGTGTCCACCCGTACTCAAGATGAGATTGTGCAGTATATATTCCCATCTACCCTTGAAAGAACAGAAAATCCAAGCTTTCTTTAGGTTGTTAGTGTTTTACTTAGAGTCTAATTCACCTGGAGGATTTGGTCTCTTAAATCGTAGGAGAACTAACTCCTGAGGTGAGACTCTTACCAATTTCTGAACCAATTTACCCTCAAGGCTCCAGTGGAGTAAGATCCTGGTTAATGTGAACATCTTCCACAGCAGCCCCTTCGGCTACCTTACCCGACTGACTAATCTAGCTTTTCGCCCTAACAATCTTCCTCCACTAATAGACCATAGACTCTCAATTATCTGACCATCTGTTCTGTATTTATCTTGCACAACCTCTCACTCTCCCTAGGAGTCAGAGCCTGCTTCCAAACCGCCAACATTTCCCTGTTGATTGGCTCTTGACTTTCGTATTAATGCATGCTCTATATAAGGGGCCACCAACTCTGTTCTTTTCTTGTGTAAGCAAACTACTTGCAATAAAATCCAAACTCAGCTCATCACAAATTGGCAACTCAGAAAGAATATCTGATGGGGAGAGAAGCAGGTCTCAAAGACTTTTAGACTTGTTCTTGGAGATTTCTCATTAATTTCCTCTGCTACTTAAAGAAGGTCTTGCTCCCAGGGTGCCTGGCTACCTCAGTCAGTAGAGTATGCAACACTTGACCTTGAGGTGAGTTTGAACCCCACATTGAGTGCAGACATTACTTCAAAAAAAAAAAAAAAGGTGCTGCTTCCTCTTTGACATTTTCTTCCAAGATGGGACACAGGACTCTTTCCTTAATTCTCCATAGTGCAGCTACACCCAGACTGAAAATTTAAAAATAATTTACTGAGTACTAAGAGTGAGAAGGTACTAACAGTGATAGAAATAACAGAAGTAACTTGCTAAAAAATAATCAATATTACACTATGCTATTTATCTATCTCCTACTGGGTGTTTATTGCAGAAATTTCTCTTTGCCTGGTTCCTAGTCTCTGCCCAGCCCCAGGTCTGCCTCAATGGAGTAAAGGTCATTTTCTTCTCACTACCTAGAAATAAACTATGCATGACTGGACTCTTTGGGGGACCAGATGTAATTCCCAAAGGAGGATGAAAATTTTCTCTCCCATCTGCATAAGCCATGTTAAAGACAAAAACTGGGGGTGTTTGACTGGCTTAGTCAGTAGAATATGCAGCTCTTGATCTTGGGGTCATGGGTTTGAGCCCCATGTTGGGAGTAGACATTGCTTAAATAAATTAACTTTAAAAAATAAGACAAAAACTGAACAACTAAGGAGAATGATTTTATTCATACTATTGCAATAGGGACAGCATCTAGATCTGAAGATGAGTTTCTCAGTAGGGTGGATTCACCCTAGACATTTTAAAGAGAGCAGTAGCTAAGTGACAGATGGGGTGATTTGCTGTTGGAATTGTTTTGCAATCAGACAAAGTCTCAGTCATCTCAACAGGAAATGTTTATGTCTATGTCTAGCTAGCTTCAGAGGACATACTTTTTTTTTAAATTTTTATTTATTTAAGTAATCTCTATACCTAACATAGGGTTCAAACTCATGACCCTTGAGATCGAGTCACATGTTCTTCCAACTGAGCCAGCCAAGCACCCCAGAAGACACATACTTTTAATGTTAGCTAATCACTCATGAGACGAAGAATTAGAAATTGACTAGGGGCAAAAGGGGAAAGGTCTCTGTCTGGCCTTGTTAGTAGGTTCAGGCAATAGAGAAAAGCGATGTGTTTGACCTTGTCACATCACCTTTCCTCTTATTGAAGACAACCATAAGGTTGTCCTTAAATAACTGCAAGGGAAACAAAGCGATGGGGAATGTACAGATCTACACCTTTGTCATTCCAGATTTGATCTTGGTACTTAAAGCTCAAATTCAGCCTCTGAGTGAGAGGTTAGTTGGAAGTGGAGTTGTTTTGGAGTCTGATGGATCATACACATTTTTGAATCATATTTTGAGATAATAACTACATAGTAGCATTTAAGACTGTGGACAGGATGCATCATTTAACTGTAAGGCATAAGATTACAAGAAGGGTGAGTAATTCTTGCAATATACCCCAAATCCAGGATCCTAGATTTCCATTTCCCATCCAGAACAACATGTCTGATAGGCCATTTGGATCAACTTTTAGAGAGCCAAATAGCCTTTTCCTTGAGTTTAGTGGTTGACTATTCTTTTTTTTTTTTTTTTTCAACGTTTATTTATTTTTGGGACAGAGAGAGACAGAGCATGAACGGGGGAGGGGCAGAAAGAGAGGGAGACACAGAATCGGAAACAGGCTCCAGGCTCTGAGCCATCAGCCCAGAGCCCGACGCGGGGCTTGAACTCACGGACCGCGAGATCGTGACCTGGCTGAAGTCGGACGCTTAACCGACTGCGCCACCCAGGCGCCCCAGTGGTTGACTATTCTACTTGGTGTGTGATGTTAATCCAAGTGCAACAAGATGTTTTGGCTATGGAGCAGACGCCTCCCTGACCATCTAGGAAGAGGTTGAGAGCTATATGATTGTCTATAACAACATGAGCCAGTGAGTTTAAGCTTATTTGTTGTGTTTCTATGGCAGAAATGGTATCATTTATTACTTCTGCATGAGTTTGGAACCTTTCTATTTTTTCCAATTTATAATTTCCGTAGTGGATATAATAGCCTCCACAGCACACATAAAGGGAGAATTAATGACCCCTCTATGAACTCTCCTGAATAACTTATATTTGCCTCATTTTGAAGTGACCATTTAAATCTCCAGATGGACACATGGCCAACAGGTAGACTAGTGATTTTAAATAATTGGAAGTCCCAGATAAGGTTTCTGAAGATGTAGGGGAAAAAATGATGTGGGGAAGGCAGGTGTAGGCTTGCTACCATATAAAATGTAATATACTTGGCAGGGGGACACAGGCACTTTGGGGGGTGTAGTAATTAATCATAATAGTTGTAGTTCACCATTGGGTAGATCTGGCAGGAGGCCATAGTCATTACTTAGAATTCAACAAAGTTTGCAAGTTTAGTTGAAAAGTAGTGAAGGAGAAGATGGTTATCAGAAATGAAAGTGCTGATGTGTTTTTTTTATTATACCTGTTATGGGGAAAGTAGAATCATGAGTTTTGGAGATTTTTAAAAAATTTTTGTTAACATTTATTCATTTTTGAGACACAGAGTATGAGTGAGGGAGGGTCAGAGAGAGAGGGAGACACAGAATCCAAAGCAGGCTCCAGGCCCTCAAATGTCATCACAGAGCACAACGTGAGGCTTGAACTCATGGACTGTGAGATCATGACCTCAGCTATAGTCAGATGCTTAACTGACGGAGCCACCTAGGTGCCTAGAGTTTTGGAGGTTTTAAGAGACGTCTTGATTATGTTGGGAATTGCTGAGAAGTTGGGGTTGATGAAGTGGAAGTGGTTGAATTACCCATATAGACCATTAAGGAGAAAGTCTCCCTGGGATGTGTTGAAGGCAATGGAATGTCCACCCCAGTGGTCAGGTGAGGGATGGGTTGAGAGTGTAGGGACAGTTGAAAAAAAAAACAGAACAAATTGAATGAGAGAGCTTTGTTCTCTTTTTGTTTATATGGTGAGACAGGACAGGACAGAACAAAGAGGGGCAAAATCATTTCAAGGTATTGTGTAATAAGGGGAGCATTGGTTCCAAGATTGATGGAAATAGAAGAAACAGTTTGACGAAGAGTAGACAAAGAAGGCAGGGATTAAGCAGGGAACCCCTGGAGGATCTTGTTTTGGAATCTGGGGTTGAAGCTGACCACTTTTTGATGCTCTGTGCCTGTTTGGTGGGGCTTGGGAAAGCAGGGTACTTCATGCTATTCTCTGCTTCTCGGAGCTCTTGAAAGAGCCTTGGTTTAAGGTCTTCTGTTGGATCAGATTTCTATTTAGGTGAGGCTGCTGTCTTCCTTAATTGCGCAACATGAGCTCAAGGTTGTATTCCTTGTAGATTTGCAGCAATACTGGTGGTTAGGAGGACAGAGTTAGGTCCCTTCTACTTGGATTCAGGATCAGTTTTTCAGACCTGTCTTTCCCAGAAAACTAGGTATCTGACCTGAAAATCATGTAAGGGCTGAGGTGGGAACTCTGGGCGAAAACAGAATTGACCTGCTAGTCATAAGTATGAGTGTATTTAATAAGACCTGGGC